ACCTGGATTGTTTCTCTTGTCAGAGGGCAGAGAACCCTACAATTGTCTTCTGAGTCACTGCTGGGGCTCTCAGCTCCAGCAGCTTGGCTTTACTTGACTAATAGGTCAAGAAGAAGACCAGTGGGCCACTCTGCTAGGAACGACTGGAAGAGAGTGCATGAGGTGATCTAAGAGTCTGAAAACTCTAACCTGGCCAGAAGTTCATGCAGGGTTCTGACAGGTCCTGCAAGGAAAGCATTACTATCTCCAAAATCATGCTGGAAGCTAGTGGGTTTTCACTGAGTTTTCTTTCTTTCTTTCTTTCTTTCTTTCTTTCTTTCTTTCTTTCTTTCTTTCTTTCTTTCTTTCTTTCCGTGTGTGTTTAGACAAGATGTCTCACTGGTCTGGGACTGATCCATCAGGTTAGGCTGTCTGTCTGATCAGCAAACCCCAGGGACTGTCTTATCTGTGTTTTCTCAGTGCTGGGATCACAATCATGTGACTGTATCCCACATTTTACATAGATTCTGGGCCTCCAACTCAGGTCCTCATGCTTTTGCAGCAAGTGGTTTATTGACTAAGTTGTCTACTCAGCTTAGGCTTTTTTTACATTCTTCCAGCATAAATGGAAACTGGACTCCTTGGCGACTCACCCAACAGAGTTCATCTTCTTCAGGAGGGGAGTTGTCCTGGCCATGAGGAATGCAATCCTCTCCAGGCCTTTCTATCACTGGCTTCTTTCACTGAGAGACTGTGGTCTCTGGCTGGCAGCTGCTTCCCTTCTACAAATGAGATGTGAGGAAGCACCTAGTAGGCAGACAGCAAGCCCTCTTCCATCCATCTGCCCAACAGAAGGCACAGGAATGACCTATAGACTAGCGCTGCTGTGGAAGAAGCTCCTGTTTGCACTAGGCAGTGGGCAATTCAGAGACTTATAACTAGACAAAGAGCAACACGAAAAATAAAAGACCCAGAGACTGATATTGGGGTTCAAGCTTCAAGCTGAAGATCAGGAAAGCAAAGCAGCTGGGCACTAGCTCTCACTCTACCTCAGACTAAAAGGAGATCCTGACTCCACCAAACCTCAGACTTAAGCCTCTCCTCAGTGTGGCTGGAGAATCCTGAGACTTCAGTGTCTTCCTGCCCTCAATGTGACTGGAGAATGAATGCCTGATACTTAGCCCTGTTCCTGTCTTAAATACGTCTTATGAGTCCTGGGATTAAAGGTGTATGATCCCAAGTGCTGAGATCATCTTTGTGCGAACTGGTTTTTTTTTTTTAGGAATGGATATATTTGTTGTAACTCAGTGTGTCCTTGAACTAACAGAGATCTGTGTACCTCTTAATCCTAAATCCTGGGATGAAAGGTGTGTGCCTGGCTTCTATGGCTTGTGACTGACTTTGCTTCCTGAATCCTCAGGCAAGCTTTAATAAATCATAAATAATATATCACCACAACAAAGTGCTGAGAGTAAGTGACCATTGAATGCCCAGTGCTAAACAGTATATCTGTATTACTGAGGCTCAGTGCTAAACAGTACATCTGTATTACTGAGGCTCAGAGAGCGTCATGGAAGAGGGGAGCTAAAGGCTGGGAATGGGGCCTGGGAAGCACATTGGCTCATGACAGCAGCGGGTGCCTGCACAAGACAGTGCCCATCAACATGCTATCATGCCTGGGGAAGAGGCTCATGAAGTTCCATCCCTCCCCTGGAAGCTACAGGTAGTTAATGGTTTGGGGGAGATGGGAAGACCTATCCCTCAGTAGTGCACTGGTAAGTTGCCCTTGTTTGTGTAAATGACCCACTCACTCCCATACTATTCACCACCCTAATTATAGTCAGTGTAAACAGACATAAATACACAAGACATAAAAGTCTGAAGGATGGGCTGACTAGTTTTATGTCAACTTGACACAACTAGAGTTATCTGAAAGGAGGAAACTTCAGTTGAGAAAATGCTTCCATAAGATCCAGTTTTCGGGGTTGGAAAGATGGCTCAGTGGTTAAAAGTACTGTTTCTCTTCCAGAGGGCCTGGGTTCAATTCCCAGCGCCCAGATGGCAGCTGACAACTGTCTGTAATTGCCCTTCTAGGGATCCTATGCCCACATGCAGACATAGCTACAGGCAAAATACCAGTGTACATAAACTAGAAACAAATAAACTGTATATAAAAATGTTCCAGCTTGCAGGGTATTTTCTTAACTAGTGATTGATGGGGGCGGGCAGCCCATTGTGGGTGGTGCCATTCCTGGGTTGCTGGTCCTGGGTTCTATAAGAAAGCAGGCTGAGCAAGCCACGATGAGTAAGCCAGTAAGCAACATCCCTCCATGGCCTCTGCATCAGCTCCTGCCTCCAGGATCGGGTCCTGTTTGAGTTCCTGTCCTGACTTCCTCCAGTGATGGACTATGATATAGAAGTGTAAGCCAAATAAACCCTTTCCTCTCCATGTGATTTTTGGTCATGGTGCTCATCACAGCTGTAGTAACCCTAACTAGGACACAGAGAGAGAATGTAGGAG